GACACAATGTCCGCACGAGCCGGGGTTGTCGATAGCGCCTCGGGCGTGTTCCAGCCCGAGGCAGGACGAGCAGACCTGGTGTGTGTCTGTGCCCGAGATCTTCAACCCGCAGCCGCAGAGTCGAGCCCCCGAGTCCCTGACTCCTCTGGTGTGAGGGAGAGAGGCGTCCATCTTGTTCGCCTCGTGGCGTGGAGAGGACCCGCTCTCAACAGGTAAATTGGGAGAAAAAAGGTGTTACCACCCTGTCCTTAATCCAGAGAAAAGGACGGTGTGGGTCTTTTATTCCCGGAGAATACTGACTGGTGTGACAGTATGCTCCTTTAATCCTTTCCTCCTCCGTGGGGAAGAGAAAAGAAAAAACGTCCTCGCTACCGTGGTGTCGATAGTGAGGGAGCGAGCTAGCAACAGGTGTGCTGCTAGCTTGAAAAAAATCAGACCCACCTTACTTTCCGGGGAAAGAGAACGGCGAGGTCGATTTCAATACTAACTGGCGTTAGTATTACCGTCTTCCTGCAAAGCAGAAGGAGTAGCCGGCGAGCGCCCGTCGACCGAAATGGTTATATTTGGGTTCAGTCTGTGGACCGTTAAGCTTGTCCGGCTACTATAGAGATGTGCTCTGAAGCGAGAAGAGGTGTTTGAATGACGCATGCGTCGTGGCGCAAGCTACTTATAGGGGGTGAATTCCCTGACGCTGACGTCAAGATCACCAGCCAATCAGGATTGGCGTAATGAGATTGATGCTTCCGTTTGCTCCGCGATGAGGCGCATCCCATAGTGAGACATCGAACGGAGTGTTATGAATGAGAACACGTAACTCTGGATTTGTTTTAATGTTTGAGGTGCAATAAACGACAGCATCTTTTTGGGATGTTAAAAACTATTATTTTCTGCCTCGCTCATGAGAGTAACAGCTGGCGAAATTACAGCCTCGCCTACTGATTTCAAATGTGTGCTCTAAAATGATATTTCTAAATGACTATTATCATTATTATAAGCAAGAAAATAAATGGCAAAGATATGTAGAAAATAAACGTATTTAAGATATGTTCATAAGAAACGTAACGTGGGAGAAAATATGCTTCTAGAAGATAATATGTAGAAAATAAACGTATTTGAGATACGTTCATAACGAACGTAACGTGGGAGAAAATACGTTTTATAGCTAAACGTAATTGAGAATGCAGTTTAGTTCTGTGGGAACGTAATTTTTAGGAGACAGGGTTGCATGTGAAGCTCTTCTTTTAGAAATAATTCAAGTGCAGAGTTTTCGTCCCTGTATGTTTATATGGCAAGATTAAATCCTAGCTCAGTTACATGAATGCGTTGGGACAGTTTTCCCTTCTGTAATGTGATCCTTTATTTTGTCCAATATATCTTTCATTTGAAGCCGGCAGCACAGCTTGCCCTCTACCCCGTGAATATATAAAAGCTTTTATTAAAAGAAACCATCTAAATGCATATCAATGTCAGACGAGGCCAACTCCAAGTGTAACATTTGGTTACAGAGCGGCTCATGCCTGTACAGAACGTTTGCTGTTCATTTGTTGAGCAGATTAGATTGGTTACGGTCATTTTAATGTGAAAAGAAAATGAAAAAGTGCATTAGGACAACATTAAAAAATACATTCAAGTAATGGCATTAATGTAATACATTAGCTGGAATAAAGACATTTCATTGCTGCTTGAAATCGTTGATGTGTTTATGGTTTGAATGTCCAGCAAAATCACTTCAAGACAAAATACATGCACAGTGAACTAGTGTTATGTATAATGTTGGCAAACTGCAATTACGTTGTCTCAGGTCTATAGAGCCATGCCACAAGTCAATGCTGTACGGATCAGAGTGCAACACGTTCCCTGTTACTGTCCTTTTGTACCATTTTTAAGAATATTCTAATTGTAAGGTGTGCTTGGGCGCCTCTAAATAAAATGTATTATTATTATTATTACTACATGAAGTTGCTGTAAGTGGAAAAACAGAGCCTTGAGTATTCTGTCGTACTCATGGAACTAGATGGTCCCTAGTTCTTGTTTTTAACCTGAAATCAATATGTAGGAATAATTACACAAATGTTAGGCACTTATTTATTAGGGCAAAAGTCCAGCATCCACATGTGCAAGTGTAAAATGTACGGGTGTCCTCTCGTACATTTTTCAGCCGATGTTATTTAAGTGTAACTATTTAAACTCTCTTAAACAAAAAGGTCTGTGTTTAGTAATGTTGCTCCTCTGTGAGTGAAATGCAGAGCAGCTCCAGGCCGATGCTCAGCAGCTGAACTCCCACCCTGACGTCTCAGACAGGATTTCTCCTTTTGCATATAAACAGTGTCTCGCCCAAATATTTGGAGATATGGTTCACATGAAGTTGAGACAGTCCACGAGCTTTCGAAGCCGATGGGAGCAGAGTCAGCTTAGGGAGGACAACGAGACAGAGAGACACTTCAAGCTACATCCCTTCTCCATATCTGTGACTTACAGGAGAAGCTCAGAGGAAAGGGACGGCAGATCAATCTTCATTTCAGCCACGACAACAAAAGCTCCTCTCACATGTGGCGGCTCTGAGTTGAAAGGGGAAAGAAAGTTCAGAAAGAAGTTATGAATGGTATCAAATCAGTTCAAGTACTGTTTCTCCTTTACTTAAAACAAACAGAAACAGTGAGGAGGGATAATGAAGCTGTAATTATATATATATCATATTTAATTACATTTTAACCACATTTATTACCTACTGTATTTATTTCTATACACATCAATAATATAACACTATGGCATTCTTTCTTAGCCTATTGGTATGCACATCAGACTATGCAGGTGAAGTGGGGCAATACTGTGTCTGAACATTTTTATGTTGGTAATGGAGTCAAGCAAGGTGGGATTTTATCTCCTTTGTTGTTTAATCTGTACATGGATGATCTGTCGAGGAAACTGAACTTGTGTAAAACTGGCTGTGTCATCGGTGCTACTGTTGTCAACCACCTTATGTACGCAGATGATTTAATCATCTTCTCCCCATGCAGTGCTGGCTTACAACAGCTTCTGAGGACTTGTTCCCAGTATGGCATTGATTTTAATATGAAGTATAACGCCAAGAAGAGTAGCATCATGATTGTACGAAGTAAAGAGGATAAAAAGGCTGTATTTCCTCATTTTATTCTCAGTAGCAACATTCTTCTTGTGTGCAGTGAGATGAAGTACCTTGGTCATTATATTTCTGATGATCTCACAGATGACAAAGACATCCATAGACAACGCTGCAAACTGTATGCCCAGGCAAACATATTAATGCGTAAGTTTCACAAGTGCTCTGTAGATGTTAAGGTATCACTTTTTAAAGCTTTCTGTACACGGCTCACCTGTGGAGTAACTACAAGGCTAGAAGCATACACAAACTAAAAGTTGCATACAATGATGCTTTACGGTTGCTGCTGAGGGTACCAAGATGGCACAGTGCCAGCCAGCTGTTTGTTAACTTGGGGGTACCTACTTGTCACGCCCTTTTAAGAAAATTAATGTACAAATTCATGTGTCGCCTAGTAGACTCGGACAATTATGTTATTTCGATTGGAAAACCATTTTTCTCCTCTACCCAATTCATTTCCATATAATAAGCCTATTTCAATATAAATTGTGTAGGCCTACTTTACATTGCATGCAGCGCTACCCCAAAGCTCCACAAACAAGCTTCACAGTTCTGATTTCATGCTACAAAACCCTTTTAAAATGAAATAAGTCTAGCGTTAATTCTGTGGAATACATAGTAAAGACCTTTGACCCCCTACCTCTGTTCCGCTCTGATGTCAGGGAGGACGCTCCGCCTCCTGAGAGTCGCCCGGTCAGCCGTCGTACCAACAGGAGCTCCAGCCAGCCCACCCCCGCTTACCGTCAGGTGGGCTCTCCCAATGACGGACACACACACTCTCCCTCCAGCCAGGGACACACACCGGACAAACACGCACCAGAATGTGACAGCATGGACGGATTCGCAGTGTGACAGTCAACAGAGCTGAGCAGCAGAGCTTCATTATAATGTTTCAATAGCAACTCAACACAGTTAGACTCTTAACATTGCTTTGTGATCATTTGTGTAACATTGTGCATTTAAGTAGCCTACTTAAGGATAATCGTACTCAAGTAGGAAGAGTCATTTCATTACTATAACATGTAGGTTAATATCACTGTTTGTAAATGAACTAAAAATAACATGTTAAAGGGCCCTTTATGCTTTTGGGTTTTTCCCCTTACCTGTAGTGTGTTATATAAAGGCTAAATAAAAGTTCCCTCCCACACACCGCCCCCCTACCTGAAACGCCTCCAATGGAGTCTTTTGTTTACTTCCTTAACATAGTGACATCACAATGTTACAATTGTGCTTCTACCTGGCTAGAGCTCCAACACATTGAGTGCCACAGTGACGCAACTTTTGAATCATAAATCAATCGATCATAAATCTATCGATTAGATTTATGATTAGAACATTATAAAAGTAGGGTAGACATGTGGATATTATCCGGCTGAACAAAACGTGATCCGTCTCTTCAATGTGTGTCAACCACAGACCTTATTTCGAGCTATTTTCCAAAATCCTATGGAGAAATTGCATTGGGTTTTTGTCGAAGGAACGAAGTGGTAAAATTCTAACTTACTTCCGGGTTTTAGGATGCGTCACTGTGGCACTCTATTGTAGGATGGAATAGGCTATTGGGCGGAACATCTCTAAGCAGTTGACCAATCACAACACAGCCGGCGAGCGGACCAATCAGAACAGACTGGGCTCTGGTTTCAGACAGAGGGTGAAAAGAGATGCATGAGAAAAATAAAGAGCTTTTTTTTTTAACATTAAAGCATGTAAACATGTCACAGGCAAAACATACAAATATGAACCTGAAATAAGCATAATAGGGACTAATATTTCCCTGTAGAAGTTCAGACTTAAACATTTGTTTGAGAGTTTTGTTGTTTTACCATTTGTAATATAACTTTCAAAAAATGATAGTGTCAAATTTAAACCAAAGAGAAATATTTATTTCATAATAGACCTCATTTGGAAATACTCAACCATTCAAAAAAAATGTACACGATTAAGTACTTTTTTTTTTTTCGAGGACGTATTGACAGGAGTTGAAATATCAATAGCCACATGCAATGGGATTTTGTCCACCACATACACAGCGACTAGATCCCCCCCCTCTCTTTATTTAGACAACATGGAGGCTTCCTGTGTCCCCCCCCTCACACAGTGGTAGAACTTTGTGTTTTTTGGGGGGGTGGGCCTTTGTAATGACACACATCATAGACAGTCAAAAGTTTAGAAACTAAACATATCAGCACCTTTTCTCCGTTAGTGTTAGAGAACCAGCCAGAGCGGACGTGCTCAGTGTTTGCACTTAGCTTCCTTCGTATTAGTTTTAGCAAGAAGACAAGATTAGTTACTTTTAAGATATGTGACATTTTCAAATTAAGGCTGAGACATTTCAATTCATCAATACCAATGTGGAGGTGGGAGATATGAAGGTCAAACAGAGTTAGTCAATATTCTGTATATGAAATTAAATGTAAACAAATTCGAACTATTATAAGCTAACAGAGTCAATAAACATCTGAACGTCAGCATAACTAGAATTAGAAACTGGCCTTCTGTCAATAGGAAACTGATGAAAGTTTAATATTGACAAACTGCAGTCTACATGTACATGGCTGTTAATTACTGGAAGTAAATGGAAACACTGAGCACTGCCCCTTTGGAAAAACACAAAATGTCTTCTTCTGTGGATTCAGGTTAATTAGCACGTACATTTTCCTTCAGATAAAAAATCTTCTGACAGTTTTAATTTTCACCAGTCTGCACAGCACCAAATTTCACGCATGAAAAATGATTTACATTAAGAAGGGGGAGGCGGGAACAAAAAGAAAAACCCAACACCTGAACATCTGTAAAAATAAGGCAAAGTACAAAAATCATAACAAACTCCATGCAGACATTAAAACATGGCTGAATTTGGCTTAAAATTATAAACGGTCCAGTTAAAAAATAGTCTTGATTCTATGCACAAAAAACAAATCAAAGTGTGAAGTGGTTGTCCAGTGGAATGTCTTGATGTTTCCCTTTTGCATCCAGTTGGTTTCATCCATTGAACAGTGTATGTGTTGATGGCTATAAAAACCCTCTTTCTGAGTCTATCCAGTCACGGTTAGGATAAGTTAAATGCTTCACCATCTTGTTTCCCGGGGCTCGGAGGGGGGGGGGGGGGGGGGGGGGGGAGTAGGGGCGTCCCCAGTCAGTGCCCCCCCCCTCAGTAGAGTCCTCTGTTTGGGGCTGCTGTGGTTCAGTAAGCATGGACCATTCTTCAAAGGCACCGTACTGTACATTGGTCAGTGTGTGTGTGTGTGTGTGTGTGTGTGTGTGTGTGTGTGTGTGTGTGTGTGTGTGTGTGTGTGTGTGTGTGTGTGTGTGTGTGTGTCTGTGTGTGTGTGTGTGTCTGTGTGTGTGTGTGTGTGTGTGTGTGTGTGTGTGTGTGTGGGCCGCGCATGGGCACATGCATACATGGAGAAGTAAAACCAGTCAACAAAGTCTATTCCCTCCACTGGTGTCAGCCCACAAGGCATCACCATGACAACTAAGGCAAAAATCTGTCTTTCCCCCCTCCCTTATTTTAGTTTCTGATTCATTGCTTCAGCTAAAATCCCCCACAATAATCATTAGTAATGATAATAATCTCTATTCAATAAATTATCTATACTGTACAATTATTTCACCTGGCATAGACCTGCAACCAAGAAGCTATCCACAGTTTCTGCCGTGTCCTCATAGATCCTCTGCAGAACACACTGACAGACAACAAGCCACTTTCTTCTTCTTTCCTGTACAGAGATTAAACAGGACATCCTGCTAAAATAAAGAATGAAAATGTACAAACATAAGCAAAGCAGATGCATAATTGAAGATTGAGAAATGGGGTAGAAACACTCGGAAGGATCGGGTATCCAGCAAAAAAACAACAGCAAAAGTTTTTTTTCTTGTGATATTTCCTGGAGAGAGTGAGTGATTTCTCTGAGAACAGTAGATAGATGATGGTTCCTGATTTTAGAGCGCGAGGCGAGTAATCCTTCCAGCATTACTGAACGCCTTCTTCGTCCACGTACGTTGAGGGAAACCATCCAATCTGAGGCATAAAACAGTAAGTATCAGTGTGTAAATGTAAACAAGATAATGTTCATTTATCTTTTACTTTTTCTGAGCACCCAGTGTCTTTTTCAAATGTTTCCAATGAGGATATGTGGTTGTATGCACTGCCCAAATAATTGTATCTCTGAGTTCCTAAACCATTTTTGTGACAGCGCTTCTAGTTGAATATCTAAATTCTTCAAAGAACAGCTGGTGACATTACTGTAGAAATTGGAGTAAAAGCCTGTTTGTTTGAGCAGATTGGCCGGTGGACAGTGGATGTATCTGCCGGTTAGTGAAAATCAATGTCCAACAACTATATAATTGCTCAAATAGATGGATAACAAGGAAGGAGGCGAGGATAGTCTGTTTTTACAAAAGGGGTGATACGTTGTCAAGATATCCTTATCATGGAAAGTGAACGTTTTTTTAGTGAAAAGCTGGGAAGAGGCTCTGCAGAGCACCTTTCTGCCAGAAAGAAACACTATGTGGACACAGTGCCTTAGAAGTACATGCAGTGAGAAAACACTTATAACACTGTGAGTCTGAATGTATCAGACCACTCTGATCTCTGCTTTAATTAGCCACATGATGTGAAATCTTTTTAGATAGCTTAGATGTCCCAGCCATCTGAAACAACTCTTCTCTTGTTTCTACAGCTGTTGCTAGACAACTCTTCCTACTTGTTGGAAAGACAATAATGAACGTTGTTACATAGTGCATATATAAAGCAGTGAAAATGTAATTGTATCACTTGCAAGCAGTCAAATGGGGATAATGCAAACTGATTCGTGCAGTTATAAGAAAATAACACACAACCTAAAAAATGTTTTGTACCAATGCTGCGTCATCAGTGACTTATATGTGTTTACAAAGGATGCCATTCTACATCTGACCATGGGGCCTTTACTCTTTACATTAACCACTGATATGTTATTTTTCTTTTAAATACAAATAAATCCTATATTTGTTATCATAAGTGCCCAATTGATACGACATGGTGTCCTATTTCTTTTAAGGTCTCTAAGCAAGATGCGCTATAATTAAGCAATCATACACGAGAGGCCGTTCTTGAATTAAAAGTGCAATTCTTGAAACAGCTCTCCATGAACTCCATGCCAGACTTTTTTGCAGGTGGTGCTGTGGTGTTCACGGGTAGGACTACGTTATAGGAAGAGCTTTCCTCCCACTCGTCAGTTGAAACAACCGCAAATCTTTCGTTGGTTTTGTGGTCTGTGTCCATGTCCAACCATTCATCAATACTGAGGCCCCCCAACAAATCAAAATTAACTTTAAAATCTGACATTTTGTAGCTACCGATTTCCAATGAGAGACAATTTATAACAGTGTAACGGCTGTGTGTCGCTAAACGTCGCTATGGAAACCACACGATGTAGGCTCATGGAAGTAGTTTCGGTAGGCTAGTGGCGTGTGTAGGCCACTGGATACTTTGTGATTAGGCACGTTCTATTTGATCGTGGAATCAAACACGCCTATTGACCAATCAGAGAGCTTGCTCAAACCTATGTGTTATAGAATAAAACCTAAATGATACTAGAATCTAGATCCGAAGCAACACATTATTGTCTTAAGAATAAAACATTGACATTACATCCAGTTGGACTGCGACCCGTTTAAACAGACACATTTCCCAGTAGGCAGGTTTTAGTTTTTAAACACCTGTTAAGAGTCCTTTAAATATAAGTGGTATAATTGGGTAAATTCAGTGGTTCAGTGCACATGGATCTTGATCTAATCAGCACACGGAACTTTATTTTTTTGTTTCTAGGCCCATTTTTGATTCTGTTCCCTTTAACCAGCCCTAAATGAACAGACGTTTGTTGTACTCACTCGTCCGTTGGCCTCTCCCTTCCACCAGCCCTGGTCTCCTCCGATCTTGCTGTAGATTTTCACGATGTCTCCTTCCCGCAGGGAAAGCTCTCTCATGTCTCTCGCTGCAAAATTATACCTGGCCACCGCTGAGCTGACCACCCGAGGAGTGAACACTGCAAGAGGAAACAACGGGGGCTCAGTCTTCTCACATTGTTAGTAATTGACAAGTGTGAAAGGTGACTAGTTTATCATTAGTTGTGAAGGATGATGGTCATTTCAGTGTTCAGCGTGACACAACGCAGCCACACAAAGACAAATGAGCTCCATGGGAAAGGACAAGTTGTTTCATCACTGGAGGAAATTGCTTTTCTTCTGGTGATTTAATGAGGGAGTGTGATCACAATAAGATTATTGGTGATGAAAAGAGTGCCACGGAGAACAAGTAATGAGGTCGACAGCACGGACACTTATTATGAAATAACAGTGGATGAGGTGCAGGGGGATAAGAGGAAGGAGCATGAAAAGAAAGAAGAGAAATATGAGTACCTGACCAAAAGGGAGCTGAGCTCTGAGAGGAGAAGTTGAGGCCCTGCGGACTGAGGAAGGAGAAGTTGTAGGAGGCGCAGGTGGCTGCTGGGAGAAGAAGAAGAAACACAGAGGAGGAAATAAAGCTGGAAATGCAGAGCAGAAGTCAGAGAAGCAAAACTAAAAAGAAGCACATTGAAGTTGTGTGCCTGGAAAATAGGGTAATCATTCTTTAATCTTGTCATGATTTGAATACTTTAGTGGTTTCTCTGAAAACAACAATTAAAAAAACTATGTCAGTTCATGCACTGATGTGAATGTAAGGGACTTTCCTGTGACATACTGTACAGTCAGACTGAAAGGGTAAACAAACATTTTCCTTTCTACTTTACCTATTATTGTTCAGAATCTGGCAACGTTACCAACAGACAACAAGACTGTGTGACTTTTAATATGTGAAACAGGAATTAAAATGCGACACCATCTGCTTCTTGTAGCACATTTCTGCTGCTGAACTTTCACACAACACGTACAGGCTCCCAGACAACTCTCGTCTGGACTCCATTACCAGATTGTCAGTGCATAAGGGTGTGGAGAGCACAGCTTTTAAAAGGTAATAAGAGAAGCATCCCAATCCCACCGTTGCCATGCACACCTGCCACCACGACAATACACACAAATGTGAGCTTGAGAGCACATTAGCAGCTGGGAATGCTCAATTGTCTCATTTCCAAATGCAGCCAAGAACTGGAGGGAGACAATCTGTCTGTGGTGGCCAGTTCCTCCAGTGGATCAGAGAGCTGCAGGACAGAAGCCAGTATTGATACGGCCTAATGGCTGCCAACTCACAGCCACAGGCCACTTCCTCTTTGTCTCCCGCTCTTTATCTATTTCACACTGCTGGTCTCTCTTTCAGCCCTGTTCCCCTGGGGGCTCCCTCCAACCCTATCTGTGAGTCACTGGCCAGTGTGTCTCATTTATTCTAGCCTCCCTAGCTAGCTGTACCCACAGCAAAGATGGCAAGGGAATACATCTGTAAAATGGACACAGTCAAATTAGTTCTCATAATCATTCATAGAAGCAAGGAGGTATACATGTCGCTACCCCAAATGTCCATTTATCCAAATAAGTTCGTACAACTTAGCCATGCTCTTCAGCTGTTCCTGGGGTATCCAAGGTGTCCCCAGGCCAGATATGAGAGGGGATATGAGCCTGCCAAGTGGTCTTCTCCTAGCTCCATGTGTTTTGCATAGTGCCAAAGGGATGTGTCCAGGAGTCATCTGCATGAGATGTCCAAACCAGATGTCTGGCATCTCACCCTGTCTTTAGAGAAGAGCTCAAACACTGCTATCTATGATCTGGTTTGAGGCTTGCCTAAAGCTCATGACCATAGAGGAGGGTTCTCATGAAACACATTCCCGCACATGGTGCCACACGATCCCCCAGCTGGTGGTAACATGCTACGATATGCTGCAATGTGTTAGCAAAGACAGAAAGGACAATGACCACATCTAACATGGATCTACCAATCTAATTCCAGTGTTACATTTAAATCTGTATTTGTGTAAGTGACGTGTAAGGCATGACCTCAACTTTGCTTTTTAAACTTTGTAAAGCAATGCAACAAAACAATACATACATAAATAAGGGTATCCGACTACTGATTGTAAACAATACCTGATCCAGATATTTGAGCGTTCATCTGTATGGGTACATCTATACAGGGATATAAACAATGTTAGAATTAAAATGATATTCTACTAAATGCTGGGTAAAGAAAACATACATTTGAGTTAGCAACAACACAAAAAAAAAAACTGTTACCAATCAAAAGTGTCACTATATATATAAAAATTGGGCAAAAATAGGCAGTATGCCCTGCTCTGAAATGCTTGGGGCATGTCAAGTAATACCGCCCGAGTGCCTGCTGCTGGGGGTCTCTTCCAGAATGTGCACACCCCAGCTCTTCTAAACTTTCAAAAATAAAATCGGTCCAAACTAATCATGTTGAAAAGAGTATTTTCTGATAGTGGCTCAGGCTAGCTGCTGGAGAGCAGGACCGTTCTGAGGGCTTACCTGGTGAGCGTGTGCTGGCCCGTGTTAGCGAGCGTTCTCTCGACTTGTACGGGTATCGCAGGGTCGTGTCTAACAACTTAAAGCTCTCTTTCAGTGAATGTGCCTGATAGTACTCCACCAGCTCCTGTTATAACAAACAGCACAGAAGGAATATTTGTATTATCTCACACTGATATGAAGCTACTGTAGGTATTTGGGTTTCTAGTAAAACTTACCAAAAGACTCTCAAATTTCTTGGCCTCAGTGATGTGAATCCAGCTGTCTTTTTCAATGACTTTGATGTGTTTTACTTCATCGTTGAATCTGTAAAAGAAGAAATAATGTTTACATTTTAATCATTGGATTCAGCTCGATACTCAAATCAAATCATACTTTATTTATATAGCACTTTTCATTCACAAATGTAAGTGCTTTACAAACCAAAGATCAATACAAAACAACCACCCCCTTCACAGTTAATATATCACATGACTCATAATAATGTGATTGATAATATCACTTAACACCAACAGAATTCAATACAACACAGGCCTGAATAAAACAAGCATAACAAATACATAAGAATACAATAATACAATACAAATAATAAAAATAAGAATAAAAATTATAATGAAATAAGAAAGAAATAAGGAAATAAATAAGAATACAATTAAAAAATCATGAATACAATTAAATTAAAAGCCAAATTAAAAGATTGGGTCTTGAGTTGGCCCTTTGTGTTTTCACTATCTGAAAACACTCGGTGTGATTCTGATTCGTAATATTGTTCTTCCTCTCTCATGCACCTTTGGTGATGCTGTCAACATGAAATTCAGTTGTGTTTACCTGAAGGACTGACAGACTTTAAAAGTAATTTTCACAAACTGATTTCATTATCCGTCTCAAGGCTGGTCTCCCCAGCCCATTCGCACCTGTCTTAGAGACAAATGTGCTAAAGCATTCCTCCCAGTACATCAGTGTATGACAGCTCCAGTCAGAGCTCATGCATTTCTCTTCCTGATGCATTTTCTCAGAGGAAATACACACAAACAAACAGGATTAAAAAAAAAAAGCAATTACCAAGCGGTAATTAGCTGGAGCTGAAAGATGCTCGGGAAAAGCTGACTGGGGCATCCCGTGAGAATTTGTATTCCCCGTGAGATGTGAATAAAACCACTTCCCCTGAGTTTCTCGCTCTCCTGTCGCGATGTTGAACACTCACTTGATGCTGATGGCGAACCTCTCTGCCTCCGCCGTCCTCTCTCTGATAAGGTAGGTCCCGCTGCTGTGGGATTTTAAAAGGTTATCGGCCTGCTGGCGCTCCATGTTCCCCGCAAACCTACAGAGGAGCAGAGAATAAATGCTGTCACCTCAAACACAAAGTTATATACAATCAAACCACATACTGAAGGCTTAACAAATCCTTGACATCAAACAACGGTGCAGCAATTCATCTTTTGATTGCGGTCATGTTTGGGGTCACTTTGCTTTAATTTGAAGTATTAGCGTGAACATATCTGGCGTAATTAGAGATAGTGACCTCGGGCTATTTGTATAGTGTACATCGTGATAGATCCACACTCTTCACACATTAAGGGTCTTACCAAGGATATCCATAGTAGTCTGATTCCCTGGAGCACTGCCGGGTAGATAATGACTGGAAAGGCTGGAATAAATAAACACCGCGCGTGTAAACATAACAATGACATGGAGCAGAAGTAGATCACGTATACGTATGTCCCACATAGGTGGTTATAGTGTACACTAAAGAGAAAGAGGAAAGCCCTCAAGACACTGTTATGATTCTTGAATAATGTATACATGCTGTACATGTACTGCATATAGGTGGCTTACCTTTGGGTCCAAACATGGTTTTACACAAGAACTGGGAAAGAAGCCGCTCTTTAGTGTTTGTATCAGTTTTCCCTGCAGGAAAAAAAGGCAGGGCGAGTTTCATTGTATGGTATTTAAAAAACTCTAATAATGGAAAGTGCTTTAGATCAATTATTTCAGAAGAAAAATCCTACAATCGCATACAGTACTGGATTAAACTGAATGAACCAACTTTATATTTAAAGCTCAGCACACTCAAAAATATCACATGGCAGGATTAAACTGTTCCGTAGAGGGTTAACCACTGGGTGAGTTTCAAGAGGACGTATGCTAATTTTCAGGTTCATATCTGTATTTTCTGTGTCTTTTATGTTTCCATGCTTTAATGTTCAAAAAGCTCTTTATTTGTCTCATACTGCCTGTGCTGCAGCACCTCTTTTCACCCTCTGTCTGAAACCAGAGCCCAGTCTGCTCTGATTGGTTAGCTGGCCGGCTCTGCTGTGATTGGTCGACTGATTAGAGAGTTGTCAGAAATGGCCTGACCCTTAGAAAATCACGTACAATCTTTTTGAGCGCTAGCCAATAGAAGCGCGAGTGTTAAATAGTAATGTCAATATGTTAAAGAAGTAAAAAAGGAGTCTAATCGAGGCGTTTCAGGCGGCGGGGGGGGGGAAGCAACTTTGGTATTTTAGCCTTTACACAAAACCAAAACACTACAGGAAAGGGACAACCCTGAAAACAGAATAGAGGCCCCTTTAAATGAATGGCCTCAGGAAGTTGGGAGTGACAGCAGTGTGACAGCCGCTGTCGTTCAGCCTGATTCACTGGCTCAGCAGCTCTGCAGCTCTGCAGCTGCAGCTCTGCAGCTCTGCAGCTCTCAGCTCTGCAGCTCTGCAGCTCTGCAGCTCTGCAGCGGTACAGCTCCATTGATTTTTAACTAAAGAGAGAGAGGGTCATTGCTGTTGTTGCAGATGCATAGAAGGCAGCAGAATACATCAGGGGATTCATTTTCTCAGTATAGTCTGATAATATCAGATTAGAACTCTCTGCACACAAAAAGTGTTAAAGGTCCAACAGAAGGCTGGATAACTTGAATAACATCAAACTACCTTGGGTAAATAAGATTCAATATTTATTTAATGTCAGGATCAACGTTTATTGCCTAAATATGCCACTAATTAACAAGATTCCAATTCTAAAGGATGATAACCTTCAACATCCTTGATTCAAATTGGTTTCTTAACTTCCCATATTGTCTGTCTGGAACTGTGACCTAAGGCAAAGTATCAGAATGTGTGTTGCATCTTTAAAGAAGGCAAACAAAAAAGCAATTGTTGTTCTTCAGTGTAAAGGTGCTTAGGTAAAACAGGATGTTAAACACAATCGAGAAAAACCAAGTTCAGTCATATTCCTGGATTAGAAACAGTTTACAATCACATCATGTGTGTAACTCCAAGCCATTCACTTACTTACATCTTGTTTCCTACATTTTTCACTCATAAATATTCATAGATTGACCCTGCATAATAACACTGCAAAAGCATCACTCCTCTAAAGAAGATTAGTTATTTTACCTGTCAAGATGTGTCTAAACTTGACCAATTGTGTATTTATTTGTAAGGTTTGCAATTATCTTGAGCAAATTGATATTGGATTACCTGTAACATTACAGACCCAGGTGATGAAGCTTTATTTATAGTGCAGTCAGTGTGTGAAATGTGTTTCCACATTCCTGGCTCTCCTCTTACATTGGTTTCAAGCAAAAGTTCAACATTTCTGAGATGTGAAGATTAATATCGCTCTCATACAAGACTACAGCCAGCCTAGCATACATGTTGAAATAGCAGGAAACAGCCAGCCTGACTCGGTCTAAAGGTTACCAAATACCAGCTCCCTGAAGCTCAATTTTTAACACAGTACAACTTGTTTGTTTTAACTGTGTAAAGACTAAGGAGTAAAATAAAGTATATTGGCCCTGCCATGGACTACCTGGAGTCTGTGCCAGCTGCCCAGCAACCTCATTGATAAAAAGTGGAAGTCACGGCACCCGGCCAAGAAAAATAATTGTTTTTGTATGGATTAAACAAACAAGATATGAATTGTCTTTACGGGAGCTGGGGGTCCAGACTGTGTTACCTTTGGATAAAGCCAGGCTAGAGTGTAGGGATTTGTCTCAGAGAGCCAAAAGGGCTATGATTTATCCTCATGTGATCACCCTCAACTTTTAAACACTAAAAGCTAGTACTAATTTATTAATTTAGAGTCCAATATCACAATTTCTCAACGTGCTGGAGGTCAGAAGCAGCTTAATATGCCTTTAACAAGATATTTTAAAGTCTGTGCCAGATAAGAGTGATTGACAGCCGTACCTCCCACCACGTGGTGTCAGGATCTCCCTTCAGCAGCTCGATAAACTCTCCTGTTTGAAAACACAGCGGCGTCTTCCCCGGTGGAGCAGGCGTCCCGTGGTAGTTCCTCACTGCCACCATCTTGGGGCCTGGAGACACAATCAAGTGATCGCTATGAGGATTGATGGATGTAGCTGGAGTAACAGTCACATGTGTAAAAGGGGTTGAAGTGAAACATTTTAATCTGAACTCGTGCTGCTTCCTGTAATTTAGAAGTAACACATTGTGAATCAGGCTGATAAAGACAGGCCTGTTTGTGATTAGACATGTGACCCATTGAAGGGGACATATTATGGTCATTTTCAGATTCATATTTGTATTGTATGCCTCTACTGTGACATGTTTACATACAGGAAAGGGAAAACCCCCTGAAAGAATAATAGGGCCTCTTTAAGTGATGCAGTGGTCTAAGATACAAACAATTTAACCACAACTCCCTGGGTTCAAATCTGGTTAAGCATCCTTTTGTCTGTCTACTTTCAAGTATCATATATGGCAAAAACACCAGATATTTCAAAGAAAATCGTAATAACAAGAACTTTGTCATTTCAAACTGTGTCTCACCCTTTTGAGACTGATTATCATGTTCTGATTTATTTTAATCTCAAATGTCTTTAGGGTTTTTGAATGGCAAGTAATATCACAAGCACATAGTATCTGTATTTATGCATGCACTGCCACCCACTGTACACGTTGATAATGTGTTTTTGTTGGGTTCATGTGTAGTGGGTATATCCACTAGATGGCAGGAGAGAGCTGTGCTGGATCCATAATACACTCATAACATGACAGCTGACAGAATATGCAGCTTCACATGGAAGTGTGCTGTGTGTCATGTTTAAGTGACTGGATCTTACCTGATGATAATCCAGGTTCCTGGAGAGAAAAACATTGTTTTTCAATTAATTTATTACAAACTAAAACCCTACTTGTATGATTTAATGTTAAAGATATAAGAAGGAAAGGGTCAATTAAGGAACATTTTACTGATATATTGATGAAGTACTCACCAAGTCAAGAGGATCTGAAACAAGAGAAATAAAACAGTGACATTGAGGAGTTTGAATCAATGAACGCACAATTCAAGTGCTTTATTTAAAATAGTTATACCCCCCCAAATAATTTCAAAAACATGTGTAAGAGAGTCATCTCTGTTGAAAGGATGTGAAATAGTCCCACACTGATCCATAGAAACCCCCAGAGGCCTGTAGCAGTGCACGGTTCAGGAACAGTAAGTTTATGCTTGTGAACGTAATTAATTTTCACGGATCGTTTTTAATGAGGTAAAAAAAAAACTGAAATAATCATATCATAATAACATCAATGAACTCTGTCACACAACATTGATTTACGATGTAATCCAAACATTGCCAAGCCCTGTACGGAAGCCCTGAGAGACAAGTGAGGAAAACAAATCTTTACTGGAACCCTGATCCTAATTGTTTATGAATTACATTTTTATTTTTGGCAGGTGAAAAAAAACGTAGAAAAAATGTAAACTCATGTATGCATTTAGTCCATTCAGAACATTGAGTAGTGCACTATAGCGTCTTGTGGCTGAAACAAGTACTACAACAACAACAAACACAAGGTTTATTTTTAATTAAGGAATTTAGAAAGACTATTCTGGCAGAACATTTTCTCCCACCCATTTGTAAGTCATACACACAAGAGAGAAAATTATTTAGACCAGACTAAATTAATGGATTAACAGAATACATTTGTTTATTCACTTGACATCCAAGGCTTCCGTATACCTGACATTGAGCCCCCAAAATAGCCATTTATTTAATAAAATAATTTAAAAAAGGGTTTCTGCAAGCAGATTAAATGAACACCTACTTATTTTACAGATGGTGATGACTTCCAGACACTCTTTGTGTGCTCCTGTTCCACAGCGAGAGCAGTAGTAGCCCTGGTAGAAGATTCCCCTAGAAGACACACACACACACACACACACACACACACACGCACATCAGTAATGCAAACAGGAAGTGTCTCAGACACAAATTAACTTCTTGTACGTACAACCCACAAGGGAATCGGCTGCTTGGAACTATAAGCCTGTGATTGCGGTTACACATGCTCCATCATTTCCACTTTGTGATCCTTTAAAATCACAGAATCGACTCGCTCCATTTAAGAGCAGTACTGAGATTGGTTGCAGTTACTGTAACGCCGCATGTGTTGCACACTGCCATGTTGACTAGTAAGTGCCATAAATCAGGATGGGGATCCGCTGGGGCTGCAGCAGTAATTAGCATCTAGCAGGGAGCGGGGACGCCGGTCCCTGCTACCACTGGCTCTGTGAATTTAGGTCAGCCCAGCCAGGAAATGTGTGGGTCAATACACAGAGTGGAGTTCAGCCGGCTGACTGTAATAGAGGGGAAAGTGGTGATTCAGTGACTCGGGCTGTCACTGCTGCAGAGGAGCAGCACTCTCACAGGGGAGGGGGAGCGCTCAGTGACACAGCGGGTAGTGCTGGGAAGGGGAAGGTTTAAAAATGTCAGACTGAGTAAGAAACATTTCTTCCAAGGATTGCTTTTACACTAGTAAGAGGCTACGCTAGCCAAAAACATATTCCCTCTGTGATTTACTGTAAGTGTGTTTATCCATCTCTCACCAAATGTGGCAGAATATCCTCTCATTTTAGCACTTCACTCCCTTTGTTCATCAGACACATTTAAGTATAACACTACTTTTACTTTTGTACATGATTATTACTCGTCCTACATAATTATGTTTGTTTTATTTTGACTGAACTGTTATTGATTATTTCTTATTCGTATTTTGTGCCTCTACCGTTACATGTTTACATGCTTTAATGTTCAAAAGCTCTTTATTTTTCTCATCCTGCCTGTGCTGCAGCACCCCTTTTCTGTCTGAAACCAGTCTGCTCTGATTGGTTAGCTGGCCAGCTTTATTGTGATTGGTCAACTGCTTAATCAGGTACAATCACCTGGCTTCTTATTTCACCCCTGCATAAATCATGGCTATACAGTATCTTCGTATGAATATTGCATAACATGTCTGAGCGTATATACAAGTATTTCTTCTGTTACAAATACTTGGGTATCTGGCTTGATGACTGTCTCCCTTTTAAACGTCATGTCAATAACCTGCTTAAAAAGCTGAGGGTTAGGCTAGGTTTCTTTTACAGAAATAAGTCCTGTTTCTCACTTGAGGCCAGGAAAAGGCTAGTCACTGTGACCTTTTTACCTGTGCTGGATTATGGTGATTTGTTATATATGAATGCACCTGCCAATTACCTGAGCAAGTTAGATGCTGCGTATCACAGTGCACTGAGATTTTTGACAAATTGTAAAGCACTTACGCATCACTGTACCCTGTATACCAAGGCGGTTATGCCATCACTTACTGTACGGAGGCTCAGTCACTGGTACTTTTTCATTTACAAAACCATGTTGGATAAACTACCATCTTATATCTGCTCCCTGATCTCTCTGCGAATTGAAAGTACTTATTGCCTGAGATCGCATGCTGTGGTTTTATTAAATGTGCCAAGTGCTAGGACTGTCTTAGGGAAGAAAGCTTTTAGATGTGCAGCTCCACTAACATGGAACAGTCTGCAAAAAGAATGAAAAATTACCAAGCTAGTACCACTACATGTTTTTAAAGCTCGGTTGGATGCTACAAAATCAGATGCTGTTGGTACCTGTACTTGTGGTTAAATATGTAAATTGTAATCCCTGTACATTTTGCTGTATGATGTCCTTTTGTTGTTTATGTGTTTATGTCTTCTTGTGGAACCTACTGCTGCAGGTCTCTCTTGAAAAAGAGATCATTGATCTCAATGGGATTTTACCTGGATAAATAAAGGTTTTGAATTGAATTGAATTGAATTCTTACACTCTGTGTCTGCTACGAGTGTAGAGACAACGGAGTTAAATACATCTGTGTTCCTGCTGAATAAAGCTGGATACATGATAGTCCTCGGAAAGTCTAGAAGTACATGCATTCATTATTTATTGTAAAATATGAATGTGCTGTTCTGCAGATCAGCACTGGAGTTATCAGGGAGTTACCTCAGGAGCATCTTGCAGGCTCGACAGTTGGTGTTCTTATCGAATGTGTGCATCTGAAAGTTATGCTGATTGGCTGTGGCTCTCTCTGGCTTGATGTTGGACCTGGAAGTAAACAAGAATTAATGAGATTTGTTTGACTTTGTGATGAAGTCGCTTGATTTCTCAAATGTTTAATTAACAGAGTGTAAAAAAACAGACACTTTCCATCTGGTTATCTTTTTTAAAGACGATTTCTCAAGTGAATTTCCAGGAAAGTTACCAACCCTTTTGTGTAATCGTACTCACATGGCCATTTCAAACTGCTCCATCCACTTCCTCTTTGTCTCCTCGGTTTTACAGAAGAACTGGAAGCCCTGCTTCCCTTGCAGGTGGATCAGGTAGAAACCGTACGACCACTGGGGAGAAGAAGTGAGTGAGGAACAGATGGTGGAGACATATGTGGATGGCAATGATAAAAACAGGCAAATAACTTAGTGATTTCTGCGCTTTCATAAAAAACATACAAAAAAACTAAATAAATATCAGCACATCTAAAAGGGATGGTTTGCATGTTTTAAAGTGAGGTTGTATGAAGTCAGGCTGCAGACAATCACAATTTGGATACAACGTGCGGGAGAACAGCTGCTGATTAAGGTTACATATGTTCACTGCTATACAGTAGTTGGCTGTGAGAGCTAACCATGAGCTAATGTAAAACATTTCTGTTTTCGATGGGGCACTGTAGCTTTTATCTATGCTCTTGGCAAAGCCACCAGACTCTATTGAAAAATAACTGTAATTTTGACTCACAGAACACAGAGGTTGCTGGTCTACTGCTGCCTTGATCTGTTAGTTAAGCTGTGTAACTGTTATGCAGGGGAATAGGGACAACCCAAAGTCAAACAATAACACAAACAAACTAGGCAGAGGTACACAGCAAATGTAGTGTTCCAAGAAAAAAATACTTTTTTTTTTTACATAGGAGTCTGGTGGCTTTAAAGATGGTATTGAAAACGCCTTCCGACTTTATAGCTCTTTTACAAAATGGTAAAAATATTCAACATATATATTAACTTATATTTTTACTTTTGGGCTATGATTCGTTAACCCCCCATCCACACAGAACAATGTTTAGCTTCTGTGGCCGTACTCCTGTTTGTTTCTCCAAACTGGGGGTTCACCTACAACCATCCACTATAGTTAACACTGACTATAGATTAGTACCTCATAAAACTCCACTTCTAAAACATCCCAATTATCCCTTTTACTCTGAACTATAAGATACTCCACATGCTTTAGCGATGCATATTTCCAAACGCTGGAGAGTGCACGTGCATTCACAGCATGACACCTATAAAACACCACTGCCAATAAATAGGCCATTATGAGAAGATGAGTCAAATAAAAAGGGTCAACTTGAGCTTACCATTTTTCCACTGGACTGGTAAGCATGCAAAAAGAAAGACACCAGAGAAAGAGCCAGTTACACATGCAAAACATGAACAGACACATGCAGATTCAAAACAAAAAAGCCATGTTAGACTTGTGGCAAAATGCACCGCGGTACGATTTCATGAATCCTAAATGCCCTTCGTTAACATGGTTTCTCAAGCATGGGCGAGCACAATGCATAATATGAAACGTCAACGCATTACTCATAAGATCTACATCTGCAAATTACCATCAACAAAGTCCTTCAGCTCAAGGGCAACATTTGTAATGATTACGCGGGATGTTACAACATCTGCATACATATTGTTTAGCTTGGTCCTTTCAAGCGTGATTCTTACCTTTTTCATGTCTCTGTTGTTCATGGGGTCGTCGGACATTTTATATGACTGCAGTTCGATAATCTCTTTGAGCTCATAGCTGTAGCCTTTCCTCTTGCAGACAATGACCACTTTATCAAACAGGAATATATACCTGAAGACAAACACACATATTAATTGTTTTTCCAACTGTAAGAATATGTAATTTCTGGAGGTATTTTATTCTGGAGAGATCGTTCTCACCGGTCCTGTTTCGTTCGGTTGACGATGGAGCACACCTTCAGCTCTCCGTCTATCTTTGGCCTCCCGTACTCCTCCAGTTTCACCTGCTGCTTCGGTCAAAAGGACACACAGCATGTCAATCCACTGAATACTATAACTTCTATATTTAATGAGAAACCATGATTAATTCATCTACACTTGAATTTTAGACAGAATCATAATAGATTTCTACTAAATGATACATCTCGGAAAATATTCAGTCCCTGTTTCTTTTCCATCCTGGTAATCCACATCTACAAGTTGTTTACTGTATCTGTGGCATATTTATAAGGCCACAATGAACCCAGTGACTAGTTGCACCTCTGTAGGAACAATACATGAAGATAGAAGTGATAACAGAGAATGATACAGTCCCATTAGAAATATTTGGAAATATAACAGACGTTGAACATCAGCCTGGAAGGTAAACACTAAATCATTCATTGAGGAAGCAAGGTAAGGTTATTATTTCTGGGTTAATGCTCAGTGAATAATCACTCCCACAAACATTGAATCCCATCCTGGTGATAACGTTAGACAGTGTATTACTTTTTATATTCAAAATGTCTTCTGCAAAGATGTCAAATCTAGCTTTGTAAAATAAAACAGAAGCAGGAACAATAGATTCATGATACAAGGTTACCGTTATACTATTTACTTTAATGTGACAGAGTTAAACGGTGCTGCTGTGGATGACATTTTGGCAAAAGGTGTGAAACGAATACCACTCTGGTATCTCTGTTAAAATTGAAGCTATAGCCATTGAACTATAGCGTACATGTGTTGAAGAAGCAACAAACGTAAAGTAAGAAAACCCTTATTCATTGAAACGCTAGTAATAGTTAAACATTAAAAAAACAGAGTGTGGTTTGATTACGTTTAATGAACAGTGGGTGGAGTATTATTATGATTTATTGTGGATAAACATGACATTGCCTTTAACAAACCCACTTCAAATCAGTTAATAAAGCACTCAAATAAACATAGACTACTGTATAAACTACTTAGGTCAGGTAAAAGCATGTTCATGTGGCTTCACCTACAGTAAGAACATGAATCAAGCCCAAAGAAACTTGAAAAATAAAAGGCGTTGACGATACTTACAAGATTCTCTATTGAACTTTGGAACTCGCTGATTTTCTTCAGCGTCTCGTTATCCCTCTTGACTTCGTTGATGTACATGGCAAGGTCCTGGGAGGCAAGGCAAACATTCTTTCAGTCTAGAATCTCTTTTGACATCTGTCATATCACTGTAGCTGTACGTCCCTTTGAGGCGCAGTAGCTGTATGAAACATTTTATACAGCTTTTGGCTCTGAGCGCTGTAGAGTCATTATGTAACGTGTCTTAAAGCTCACTCATGAGCACACTGACCTGCATCGCCTCCAGAGACTCCTTCAGTTGTTGTCTCTCCGGTCGGTCCGCTGAGTGAGTCAACAGCTCCTGTGGAGGGAGATCATTATTCATATGTAGTAAACACACTGATTCAAAGCCTATACTAATGAGAGGAGATGTTGTAACAGATGTATAGCTGATGTGTTTGACACTGACACACATCTGAGTCAGACAGAAACATACATTAAATTAAACGTTTGCTAACTAGCCTCCAGGCATCTTTAAGCTTTATGCTAATAAGCTAAAGGACAATGACACCATTTTTTAAATGGGATGGCATGTCTCCTCCACTAGCTTTTTAGAATGATTTATAAAACACTATAGAGCCATGTGTTTTGTGATAAATGAAAATCCCATTAAAGCTTTTATAGTTTTATAAATACAACTGAAACTGTGCCATATGTTTAACCAGTTGGCAGATCCATCAGCAGTGTCCTAACAAAACTAAGAAATAAACACACTACTGAACCAAATGTTGTCTTGTCGTTGTTGACATTGATAGACGAACTAAAGTTTATACAACGGGAGGATTTTAGCCTTTCACATTCACCTACAGTATATGACACACTACAGGAAAGGGAAAACCCCAAAAAGCATAATAGGGCCCGTTGATAGATGTATTTTCAATGCATTACATTTCGCTTTTCCCGCTATGACAACTCTCTTCCACCTGCTAGCTATAAGAGGGCATGACCTTCAGATATCCCCCCCGGTCTAACCCCCACTGTGCAGCCATGCTGAATAACCAGTACGAGCCATTAGTGCGGCGACACAAGCATTATCTCTCAAAGGCTTCCCACCAGCAGCCGCACAGCAAGGACGAGAGTTCTCCTTAGGCTTAATTTCACCTTAATTAACTTTAATTTTATATAAATGATCTAACAACTCAGCAGATCTTTTTAATACCGTGGTGTTATTTTTCCTCAAGCGAGACCGCCCCGACGACTCTCAGCACAGCCCATAAACTCAGCTTTCACACAGGTTCATAAAAACACTGCAAATTCATCAACTATTCAAACCCTGCTGGAGGAGAATCACTTCTGAGATGACTGTGCTGAATTCACTTTATTTAGAGTGCAGCCAAAGTACATAAAAGATGAAAGTATTCACACCATGACCGGATAGAGGGACCGCTGCCGTGGTGATATCTACACAACATCTACTGAAGACGTGCATGAGTGGACAAATAAACAGGACTTGTCAGTGTGACGCGCCCCCGGGCCGTGCAGCGGTGTCCCTGCAAAGCGGTTGGATGCAGTGAAATGGGGTGCGTTGAATTGGATTAGAGTGCGCTTGATTTGACCTCAGTGCCCGGCTGAGGCTCCTGCAGGGGTTCGATACAGACTAATAGACAAGTCGCTCTCCGTGAAGCCCCACAATCACCTGAAGCCAACGCTCAGCTCCTTTATGCACCGCTTCATAAACTCATATGCTCATCCATAATTGAGATGCAAAGTCAATTAATCATGGGCGATATTACAGTGGCCGTCTTGTTTCATCGCCAGGAGGAGAGCTCCAGGGAGGAATAATGGAGAGGAAGTGTGTGGCTAGTCATTGGGCTTAAATATATTTTCATATTAGGGCATCGATGCACGGCTACATAATGATTATAGCTACCAGGTAACCCAGAGGAATCTGTTCATGACATGAGCTAAACTGCCTGAGAAGCAGAAATCTAATCTAATGTGATGAATTACTTATTTGATTAATTAGGAAATCAAATTGATTAAATCATCATTTTAAATTGTAGGTAACTACAAACTAACATTATTTAAATATTTACATAACATAAACACAAAATGCTAATTACCAAAAATAATGGACATAGTTAATAAATGAAAAGTCGAAAATAAAGAACACAGGCAAACATGCAGCATGTTCCAAAAGGCAAAATAGAAGTACAGAAACAGAATTGGTGGCGTGGTCAAGAAAACGATGACAGGATGGTCCCCAGTTGAAGCTCATAGTAAGGAATAAAGACAGACTCAGACTGGTTATTAAGTATTAGCCAAAATGAAAAAATAATTAATTAACGTGTACACTTTGAGACATCTGACCTATGCTTTTAACCTGTAATACTTGTCACCTTCGTTAAACAACTACAAAATGAATTTAAAAAAAGGCATAAACTACAAAAGAGACAAAGCCACCACAAAGTCTGTGTGTCTTTCTTCTATGTAGGAAAGGTGTCAGGGCGTGTGTTTGTGACCAGGGGCCCCTCGTCTCATAATTCAAAGAAGCAAGCCTTAAACCTTTCAAATACACGTTTTGTGCTTCAAGCAGGGATGAGTGTTGATATTTAAAAGATGGAATGTAATAAGCATGTTGCTTTCCAAACACATGGAGCATCCAGAGAAATAATGTTGTGAGATGCATCCTACCTTGAGTAGTAGGTGGTACTTCAGCACCCTCTGCATGGGAACCACCAGCAGATCCTGCAGCTTGAACTTCCCTTCCTGTACTTTCATAGTACATTCCTGAGGAAGAACAACAACACAAGCAGCAGGGCAGTTGTTACACATTGCATAAGGCCACAAAGCACATTTCCTTCCTACTAACAAGCATTCATTCATTGTTTAATAATTCATGGGGTCTTGTTGTATTGTTGTGACCGCTTCCACACATTCATTCGGCATTCCATCAGCAACAACGAGCCCAGTTTATTATTCTGAGGGGAAACAAAAGCTTTGTGATGCAGTAGGCCTGAATGCTGACTGGGAAATTCCTCTGACTAATGAATATGTTTTTATAAACTCTGCACAGGCTCCGTTAGAAACTGTCTTTTGTATGTGTCACACTATGAGGTTTCATCACAGTGGCTTGTGTAGGCGTTTCTTTATTCACTTTCTATCACCATGCAGCAACAAGGACAGCTTATCCCTCTACAAATAAGGATTTTGTGGACAAAGAAGCTTATATATCCCGGTACAAAGATCTTCTATTTGGAAAGAGAGTATCCCAGAGTTTTTGTCAACAGCTCTTAAAGCAATTTCTCTAAACATGCTACTGTAAGTGCTGATGTGCCTTAACACCATTATTACAGCAGTGTGTTAGCGTTTCTTCTATTATCACTTCAGATTTTATACAAAGAAGGAGTTTCAATAGACCCATACATGTGATACAGCTTTTCCCATGTAAGAATTGGTGAGTATTAAGCAAGACATCTTGAAATCCACCACTCTGCCCACAATACACTCGCCAATACATCTGGGGTTATGTTGAGTTCAGTACATCAGAATATTATGAATTAAACAGTCCTTAAGGGCATATTTGCAAATTAAATTATTTGCCTCTCTGATTTTATCTCAATTTGTGCATGACCACGGAACATTTGGATCACATTTATACATTTATTTATGTCATTAATTATTCAATGTTTTCATTTATTCAACAGCAAATTAGAATTTCATACTTCATGTCGTAAGAGAAGTTTTCTGTAGACATTTGTAAAGTGCAAACATGTAAATGGTTGCATACATTGCATACACTTCCTAACTGTCCTTGTTAAAGGCCCTGTCACACTGTCCCGAAATTGACACCCGATGGACACACGAATATGGAATTGTGAATTTCGCACGATGATGGCCCCGAACCACACACGAAGGCAACATTTACATTACATTTAAGACATACAATTGCAATGAAAGTACCAAAAACAATTATGTTACAGTGCTATGATACTGTACTGATATCTTCAGACTTTGTTCTTTATTTTATCCGTCGTTATATGTAGAAAATATTACGTTTTCTCCGTAATGTTGTTTCCATAACAACAACAACTTCCTGTCAACTGTCCTTCAAAATAATATATTATATCCTTTTTAGTTTCACAGAACACAAATTGGGTTATTTACATAATATATTTACATGATTTTGTTGTGCAATAAAACAACCCGATGGACACACGATAAAGGAAATGTTCAAATTCGGCTGTGATCGTAGCAACATCGGGCCATTCGTGAGGGCATCTTAAGCCATCGTATGACCACCGGTGGAGTTTCTCAGGCTCCGGCAGCAACTTCGTGAGCGGTGGCAAAATCTTTGGCATGCCAAAAAATTGCCGAAGGACCTTGCGAAGGTTCATTTTCGTGTTGAATTCGTGTGTCAATTTTTCCCTTCGTAAGGCCATCGTGAGGGCATCGTGTTATCATCGGTGCCATCGGGCATTCGCCCCGATCAGAGTGAGGGCGAATGCCCGATGGCACCGATGATAACACGAAGATGACACGATTTGACAAGATGTCCTCACGAGTGCCTTACGAAGTTGCCGCTCACTAAGTTGCTGCCGGAGCCTGAGAAACTCCACCGGCGGTCATACGATGGCTTAAGATGCCCTCACGAATGGCCCGATGTTGCTACGATCACAGCCGAATTTGAACATTTCCTTTATCGTGTGTCCATCGGGTGTCAATTTCGGGACAGTGTGACAGGGCCTTAAAGGATGTATTGGCCATTTAGTGAATATAGGAACCTAATGTTTAAAAAAAGAAAGAAAAGGAAATAACCTACATATGTTGAATTCTATTGGAGGTGGAAGAACATTTCTATTGTCACCTATTGTCTTGTGGCTTATAATGTTTTTTGTAAGGTGTCATTTTGTCATTAAAGCCCCTGTCCCATTCCACATTAAGCCAGGTTTTAGGTCCATTAGCAAGATGCTAATCCTACCTGCTCACGAATCAGTATTCAGTCTGAAATAGAAGCCTCTGTTCACACTGATATTTTCACAGCAATGCACTAAATCAGTGGGATGTCACAGGTGAAGGGCGTTACCTCCACTTTAATCTTGACGTCCTCTCGTGTCGCTATTTGCTCGTCCAGTGTCTTCTGTGCGTTCTCCATGTGGCTGCAGTAAAGACCGTAGATCAACAACCTGGGGAAGGACACAAGTCAAAAACAGCCGTTAATCTAAATACACCGTTAATCTAAATACACCGTCACATCTCATCGCCCTTCATGGGACGTAGGGAGGAAACACTACAAATAAAAGTCACGCATGAAAGTGGTTCATTATGCCAGGGCTGTTCATTATGTGCCAGAAATCACAATTTGGTCAATCATTGTGTTTCCAAAACAAGATTGGACAGTGAGGTGTGCACAGCAAAAACATATTTTCATAAATCTTCAGCAGAAAAGCCAAACAAAACTAAAGGTATATGATCGGTTTCTTCTTATTTCATAAATATAATCTTAGGAAAAAATAATGTAGTTTTATAAATACAAGTGAAACTATGTTGTAATGTCGTCATCCACATCCTTTTTTTGCAGTACCTTTTTATAGTATACTGTGCATATCGATTGAACACTCATGTTGTTTTTTGTTAGTGGAGAGCTTTTAACAGTTCCCTACTCACACAGCATGAGTTATATAAAAGCAATAGCAGCATTGATAAAAACATGAGAAATGTACAGTGACCAATTAGGCCCCCACTTTCTAGTTTACATCAACATGAATTGAGCAAGAGGTACCGGGTTAAAGACCTGAAGCTCCCTCTGAAAGCTTTTTCAGCTGCTTCAAGCAACTGTTATGTATTTTGAAGTATTCTTTTGTGTCAAAATAAAAGCATACCAAGACCTACACCCAAAACAACATTTGAAAACACAGAAATAAGAAGAAAACTGGTGAATTGTGCACTACCTTAGGAATGCGTTTGCCAAGGTGAGCACACTAGAAAGTGTTTCACAAGTACAGAACGTTGTATAAGCAATATGATCTAACTATCAACAATTCAAAGTATTTTTCACAGTCTCTCTGGCTTGCTGATTAATACATTTTTAAGCCATTAACTACTTTTACTCCCACACGGTCCCTCTGCAACCGTATATTCACGCTCCAAAAGATGAAACATTCATGTCCGTAAAGATAAATCCACTGCTGGGATTATGATTCAGATATTTTCAGCTTGTTCTCTGCGAGTACAGGAACTAATGAAGACACGTCAGCTCATAAAAGCATCTCCAGCCGGCTTAATAAGGACTAATGAGGCTCTTTTCAAAAGGTTGGGATATAAATCATATCTTTGTCAAAACATAGAGGAAGATTTGATTGGTGTTTGAGTCCACAATCAGCCTTTCGGCAATGTACGGCACATTAATGTGAAGATTAATAAACACAATTTCAGAGGTCAGCCTGAGAGTCATTTGGCACTGTAGAGGAAAGGCTAAATGAATATGTTAATAAATGTAGTGTGATTAGGAGTATACGTGAATACTATAAATAAGTAATGACCAGATTCTGATCCCAGGGCAATATTTGGAGGGGCGGCCTCCTCTTGTTGTAATCCCAGATTGCTAATGAAAGGCGTTGTCTAATATCAGCTGCTTTGCAGAGTTCCTCTTATCAGCGTGTGAGGTGGAAAAAAAGCAGTGAGGAAATGAGAGCTGTATTCATTAGACACTACAATGGGACGCTGACACAGATCTGTGGGTTCAGTTGGGAAGGAGATCAAAGTCATCCTGCCTGGAGGATGCCACTGCAAAGAGGCACACATTCCTCCTGCTCACTCGCTGAGTCAAAGTAGGGCATTGGCACGGCTGGTGAAGTGCTAAACCCAACACCCCCCCTCCGGTGGAGTTGGCACTCCGGTCTCTTAATCTGAGTCTCGAGCGGTGCAGAGAGCTGGCACACTGAAGTCTAATCATGCCTCCGATAGATCTGTGAGGCAGACAAGTGGACTGCAAACGGCTCTGATGAAGCAGTGGGAGTACAACTTAATATCAATTCATCCTCTTGCTGCTACATTCATGTGGTGAATTTTAAGTTTAATTAAAACAAAACTTAAATTGACTGACATTTCAATGAGAAGTATATTTTTTTTAAAGAAGCATAACTGATTTATGGCTACCCACATCAAGGAACAAATAAAAACAATTGGCTGTTGGTTTCTCTGTTTGTCAGCAATATTAAAGAAAAACTACACGCCTGAGTTTCATGAGACTTGGTAGGAGGGTGTAGTATGGGCCAAGGAAGAACCCATTCTATTATGGTGCAGATCTGACTCATAGGGCAGATATAAGCAATGCTTTTCACAACTTGAAACGGCATTGTGCTATTCTAGTCGTATATAGGTTTTTTAATGTTTGCATCTTAAACTCAACTGCTACAAAAACTAACATAAAAAAATATGGCAGGTGAGGAATGTCTTTATTGTCAATGTTAAGAGTGTCAATCATCGCATGTTTCACCAGAGGTGGAATTCTCAACAATGAAAGAAAATCTTCCTCTTGAAGGACCCATCATCTCTTGATCATCGTCTTCTCTACAGAGATCCACAGTGATGATCCCTGGAGCGTCCCTGGAGCCCCCGCTGAGCCCTGACTACAGCCCTCCTGTAGTGGGGCTCCTAGCCTGGTTAAACTGGCCCTGGGCTAATAAGCTCCTGATTAAGACTTGATCCACACACAGAGAGACAGCTCCCATCAGCTCCTGTCCATCCAGGACGACAAAGTGATTGAGATGAATGGGGGCCTTGTTCCAATATAAGGCAGCGGGTGGACTATGAAGCGTAGGGAAGATCCAAGGTCATATTTAAGAGACACTCGTCACACAGTACGTTATCAGGAAACCAATGCAAAGAACTCAAGCTTCTGGTGTCATTGGGGGAACCATGATAGCAGTAAAAGGGAAGCAAGGTATTACAGGCATGAAACAATCATAGAAATATATACAAGGGAACATTAAAGGAAATGAGCAAGAACACAATAAAGGTTAAGGACTGTTCTTCTTAAAGGACTTTAGTATAGTTTATGAAGGCTACCTCTAATATTGTTCGTATATATTCATCAGTGTTTGGACTTAATAAGAAAGACTTATTTATCTCCCCACTCTTTTCCCAGTGATCTATAGTTAGTCCGTCTTTCAGAATGTTACTTATCATAATAGATTTGTTCCAACAAAAGTGTTGAATGACTGATTTTCCTTGTAAAATAGTTGCAAAGGGCCAGTTTTTTTAGAAATTGAATAACATTCATGTTCATGTTTACTTGCTTGCATCTCTACCTACCTCTTTTGCTAGTTTTGTTAGCACCACACAAACACAACTGGGACCCGTTCATAAAGAGTAGCTATAATCCACAGGGAACCTTGACTTTTTCCCCAAGTACACCAAATTGGCAAGTTTTCTCTTATGACACTATAATGCCTGCAGAAGTCTGTATTTGAAAAATAAAGTATTCAAACAGGCGTGGTTATAAGGAAAATCAGAAGCTGCCCAGTAGCCTCTAAACGGCATAGTTGTTTCAGACAGTTCCCCGTTGGGTTAGAGAGTTTGCTGGTGCATTAATAAACCTGCTTGTATTCTCTTCAGCAGCAGCGCTATGGCCCTGCTGTGCTGGCAGGTCTATTTCATAATAAGGACGCTGTGGTGCATGTTATTTCACAGAAAATGCAATTTTGAGCAACGACGCCCTGGGAACTTCAACCCCCGCCCTTGTAAAGTCCTGCGAGCCGAGCCAATCTCCAAGCAAACCAGAAGTGACAGACTGTGGAGCCGCCTAATATTCTCTGACACATGGCATTGGGACCCCCTCACCTCCACTCAACATATCCAGCACACAGCAAATGGAGGAGAACATGAAGAAAAGACCTCCGATAAAGAGGCTCAAAGTGCAGCCATGATTAGGCAGAGCGGGGATATCAGGAAGCCAGATTACTCCGGAAATGAGTTGGGGAATGTCGCAAATGAGGATATCAACAAGAGGGCACTTAGATACCCATTCAGTTTTCTAGAGCTGCTCCTCAGTGCACTTTTCCATTTAGCTGGGCTGTTTAAGAATTGAGAAGTAGTCGAGATAAACCCGTGACATTTTCAGCATGGCATTCAGTTTGACGACAAATAGAATACAAAAGGGAAAAGCTTTTCATCTTTCGCACCAACGTGAGGAAGAAGGCGATACAAGCACATTGTTGTAAAGGTCAGAGCTACTTACAAGCATAGATAACAGAATTAATTATGCCAAGCCAGGTCCTCAGGAAAATCGCCCAGATGCCTGATGAGAGCGGTGCTGTGAAGGTCCAAATCCCCTGGTAACTGTTGCTTATCGCAAGACACTGCAGTGGCTCATAATGAGGCCGGCGTATATGTCAATCACACGCAGAGTCAAAGCCTGTGACGCACAGAATCTGCAAATCTAATGAACCGTCGGTCTTAAAATAACCCAGCTTCCCATTTCTGAGAATGTCGCTAGAGGTAAATATTAACAATGAGCGATATGTCATCAGTGAATGAATAGAAGGTAAATGTTACATAATTCTGTCAGAGATAGAAGGTTGAATCCGTTACCAAACAACCCCATCGACTACAGGTCTTTATTTGGTCTTGGGCTCTTTTAAAAGCTTTGGTCCTCTTAGTTCAAATTACTAGAAATATTAATGGTACTTTAGTATAATCGGTTTCCAACTTTATGCTAACTGTTTCCTTCATCATGGCACTGTCACCAAGCACAAAGCTGGGTCGATGAAGACATGGATTTTCCCAGGTTAGAGTGGAACATTTTTACTGGCACTGAGCCCCAACATCCACCCTGTCCAACACTTTTGGGATAAATTGTAACGCCAACTGTAAGCCAGGCCTCATCGCCTTATTACATTACATTACATTGCATTTAGCTGACGCTTTTATCCAAAGCGACTTACAATAAGTGCGTTCGACCAACAAAATACAAACTTGAAGAAAACAGAATCATATAAGTACATCAGGTTTCATAGAGCCAAAACATTTCAAGTGCTACTTAACTGGCTTTAGATAAGCCAGTCCTTTATTAGTATATAAGTGCTTTGTTAATAGTTCTATCGCTCGAAGTAGAGTCGAAAGAGATGAGTTTTCAGTCTGCGCCGGAAGGTGTGTAAGCTTTCTGCTGTCCTGATGTCAATGGGGAGCTCATTCCACCATTTTCAGTCACAACATGACAAATGCTCTTCTGGATGAATGGGGGCAAATCCCCACCAGTGTCAACATCTCGTGGAAAGTCTCCCCAGAAGAATGGGGGAGGTAATTGCCGAAAATTCAGGACATTTGTTTTGATGTTCAATAATCTTATATGGGTGTAAGGTTCAGGTTCAATGTACAAAGTTCAAAGTGGAGTTATAGTACTGTAGTTAAGTACTGTATTAAAAAACAAAATATGTTGGGCCGGATTAGCTTTTATTAAGGACCATAACAAAAAAGCCTAAAAACCCCTAAAGTAAATCAATAATGTTAATGATGTAATTGCAAAAACTACTATTTCTCCATAAATCTCTTTCAGGATTTCCCCAGTCTCCCTCTCTTCATGTGCATCCTTTAAGCTTGTATGAGGCATCCGCCCAGTCCTTTACAGGGATCTTTGGCTTACTGGACCTTATCTGGGATTGCGTGCAAATGAAGATTTCCAACCAAAAGCTCCATCAGATGAGAGAGTCAGATGAGCTACAACAAGGAAGGAGATGCAGAAGGAGTGTGTGCATGCGTGTGTAAGATAGAGGGAGAGAGTACTGTATGTGCCTGCTTCTGTCGATTAGTAGGAATGGAGTCTGTAGTGTCACACTAACTCTGCGTTACACGACCCTCTAGGCTTATGGGTAGAGGCCTGGGACGAGACTATTACCTATGCAAACTGACGTCCACCAGAGACATACGCCGACTGCCTGTTTCCGCTTGGAAGGGGGGGGGGAAAGTAAGTGTGTTATCAGGATAAATGTGAAAAATGAGTAATAAATGTATGCAAGAACAGGTACACACACACACACACACACACACACACACACACACACACACACACACACACACACACACACACACACACACACACACACACACACACACACACACACACACACACACACACACACACACACACACACACACACACACACACACACACACACACACACACACAGTGAAGTGTGCGACTCACTCTTGCAGTAATGGGTGTATCATTGGAGGAGAGTGGCATATCCATGGCTGTGTGTGGAATCATGCCCAGGGCCAGAGCCTATCATCGCCATCATTACCATTACCTATGAAGCAGCCTCACTCGCAGCAGCAGCAGCAGCAGGAAGGCAAATCACTGCTCCCCTCAGGGATGCAAATTATCCACACGCTGCTCAGCAGCTGGGCCAGATGAAGATCCATCGGAGAGAAAGCCCTGTTCACCAATAAACCTTACACGGTTCCCTGAGTTTTCTAATCTCCGCAGCACAGAAATATCCTTCCTATAACATTTGCGTGTCTCCAATAAAGTCCTTTAATATAACTTTTAAAAGAAGTGGAACTGTTTTATCCACTTGATGAGCAATATGTATGATTTAAGAGGGAAATACTTTAAATTACCCACAAATGTCTTCTTTTTTTCATGTATATACTTGTTCTTGTTTTTGTTTGGGGGGGGACAAGCAGTGCCTTGATGGAAGATACAGTGCTGAAAGGTGGATGCAAAGGGGATGACACGCGGAAAATGGTCACATGTCGGATTTGAACCTGTGTTCTTCACATGGGTGGATGGCTTTTAAAATAGATTGGATCAATTCTGCTCAACAAAGAACAATCTTATACTTAGCTTATAGCTGATTTGCCATTTTAGAGTATTGTGGTATGAGTTTGTTTGAGTTTGAGGAACATAAAACGTTGGCTAATAATGTGGCAGTGAAAGTGGAGACAACACTAAAGGAATATAACTGTGATAGGGGACGCAATCTTGAGTGGATTTACTTTGGCTGTTATGGTTGAATGGGGAACAATTGGTTACATGCTTTTCAGCTCTACGTGTTTTGTTTTAATCAACTTCTTCTTTGAACACTAATCCCAGCAATCCCCCGACAGATCTGTGGATACTCAACATGATACGTAACATGTTGCAGCCTCTTGCCGCTTGCTCCCAGCTAAGGTTGTTTTTTAACACAGTGAACCCAAAAAAGAACAGCTTTTGCATATGTCTAAAGACACATTTCAGGTCACTTACCTTTCTTTGAATTCGAGGAAGATCTTCCCCAGTCCGCTTCCTCCGCTCAACATGTTCAGGTCTATGGCTCGTAGGAGGGCGGAGTGGACTTTGATTACATCCTGAGTGAGCAACCGACATAATATTAGAATCTACCCATTCTAAGGGTGAAAAAACTGCATTAATATAGTTTTTTAAAGTCTTTGTAACCCCTAAAAGCACATATAAAAGTAACAATCGTTGGCAATGCCATCAGCTCAAATGTGAGGTTAAGTCCACCAAGACAATAATTCTACGTATAGACATATAAATGTAATGTAAATGGCCTAGGATGTACGGAACATTTTTTAAAACATTTTAGTCAATTTATTGAACATGTCAGAAACAAAACATACAACAACAATAATAATAATAATATTTATATATTTTTTAAATTATAATAATAATTAGAGAGTCTGTCATATTCAACAGGGGCAAGAAGAAGCAAAAAACATTAGCTATGCATTCATGTATTCATCCTTAAAGGTTCAGCAGGCTACAACACGTTCCTTACATATTGCCTTGGTATGCCCTATGATTCAAATGATTGCAGTCGTCCTAGTCCAATGCAGTCTAATTATCTTCACCATACGTAAGCCTGTGGGGAGACAATGTGGTTGGTCGTGCGTGTGTGTGTGTGTGTCTGTCTGCAGCTAATCTCACAAACCACTGGACACATCAGCCTAATATATTTTGGGATGACTGTATGCTCTTGTGATTTACAATTTTGGAAAAACCTATTTTATGGACTCTTTAATACAGATTGGACTGCTTACTCCTACTCCTCTCAGCCAGGCAGTGAAGTCCTGCCATCGGCTGGTCTAAAACAAACCTTAGCGAGTCTGTTCCAGGCTACAGTTTGACTTGTGTTGTGGCACAAAAACTGTTTTCGTTCTCGTTTTGAACATCTGCAGATTAATTCCATTCCTGATTCATTTTGATACAGTAGAGAAACTCAAGTTTAGAGAGGGATACATTTGTGTTTTTGATATATTTGCTGCTATTTTGTTTCTAATGCTACGATAGTCAACTCATCTTTGTTAGGGTGAAGAACTGCACTCTACTAAAGTTACTTTTGCAGTTAGAATGTATGTCTTGGCAAGTGTCAAGGCTAAATTAAGAATGTTCTTTTTAAACTGCTGTTGGTTCATCAATTGTTATCTGCTAAACACCGGTAGTTGAAAGATACTGCTGGCTTTATTTAACAATGATAACATTTGTGATTTGTTTTTCCGATTATTTAACAATTCAAGCATCTGGTTAATTTCTGTTAAAGTTCATTTATGAATTTAAGATAATTCACAATACTAAACATTTTTTTGTGTAGTAAGTTGATTATTGACCAGGTTGTACAGCAATAACCAATGAGCCACTGACAAGCGTTTCAAAACAAATGAGAAAAGAGGGAATATTTTGTTTCCCCCACTAACAACATTAAACTGTGACATCGGAGCATGCATTTTGCAAACTGTTATCCCTTAAATGTACATATAATAATAATAATAATGCATTACAGTTTTTTATTAGAGCGCTTTTACAGGTGCTCAAAGCGCTTTACAAGTACACATTACACATATTAGACATGTAAGAGTCATTACTGCAGACATTACCCACAGGAGCAAATGCGGGTAAAGTGTCTTGCCCAAGGACACAACGGCCTGATATATACATCACATCCTGCCATTCATTCAGCCATCTGTACACATATTGAATTATTCACTTGATTAGACACCACTTTGTTCTGCTTTGGCGGTTTCTTACCTCAAGATTGACAAAGATAGCCTCCATTTCCTGTGGGGTGAACACTTGCTTCAACGGGATCATGTAGTTCTAAAGAGAAATACAAAAGAAACGTTAAGTGAGAAGAACAAATATAAGTGAAGTCACTCTTTCAAACACTTCTGTTTCAGTTTTTCATGTTAAAAACTGTATTGATAAAATGTCATCAACTTCTGGCAAAGCTTTTAGCAGACATGTAAAGATTCTTTTGAAGGCCAGGACAACCTTAAAGTTAACTGCAGCAACAACTAAATCAATACCAAGCTACACTGTAAAAAAATGCAGCCACCCTAATGTTGTGCACAGGAAGTGGTATGTCTTTAATATCAGGATACAGTTCTTCCCCCTGCTGCACGAATGCTTCAACAAGAGGAACCTGCCTATTATTTCTCCAAAGTTGTTTCATGGTTGTCACTTTCCATCATCATAACAATAACAAATAGATCAACTAAGAAGCAATGAAGGAATGAGCCTTTATTAACACCAACCCAATTAAGCTTGACGAGTCCTCAGATCACAAGAGGGTTATTTATTCTCATTTAGTCTCGCGTTGGTCCGAGGCGGGATACACAGGATGCACATTTAGTTTAATGAAATTAGTGGAGCGCATGATTTGTGGCGCTCCATCAAATTCGAGGATGCAATCTGTCAACGCGGAAAGTGATGTGTTAGCAGCACCGACGCCAACAAAGGAACATTAGCACAGAGAGATGTTGTAAGTGGGAGAGTTTATGTCTGCTAAAGCACACGGAGCGCGCCGTTTTACAGGGATGGAAATTTAATTTGTCGTCTTTTCTCTGTACTTTACAAATAGAACTGTAGGGTTAGGGTTAGCTGTGTTCTTCATTTTGTACATGAAGTGTAACTACAATATACTAGGGCTGCTCGATTATGGCAAAAATCATAATCTCGATTATTTGGGCCAATAATTGATATCACGATCATTAAAAAGGATTTACTTTGAAAACATCAATTTATTTAAAAAATGTTTTTGAACAGTATGTTTTTAACAGTTGATTACCCTGAACTTTAAATATAATTCAACTGAAAAACCAATACAAAAAATAATAAAAAAATAATAATACAAAATAATCGTTTCATTTCGATTACGTTGTTTTCGTAATTGTTGAAAGCCAAAATCGTAATCGCGATTAAAATACGATTAATTGAGCAGCCCTACAATATACCCGTATTCTTTATTGTTACACAGGAAGGAACAAAGAGAATGTGATGGGTAGGTAAACAACATACTAGCGAGGCAAATATATTTATGACTTTTTGAGAAGTATGCAAGGTTAGCATCTCATTAAAATCTTAGGAGTTGTATATGAATATGTAATGTGCAGGGCTGAAATGTATTATGATACAATTATCTGCTAAAAACTGTATTCAGTACCCAAACGCAAGTATCACTAAATGAACGGAGCGCTATTTGAATACTTAGTGATATTCAAGTCGATATCAAATATGTAAACAAAGTCAAGAGAAAATAATAATGCACACATCTCACCTATTATTTTGCACATAAATCAGTGAAAGAGGAACAACATCAGAGCATTCTGTAGGTTCTGCCATCCAGCTGTGAAAATGCTTTCATCATCCACCCACTCAAATCATTTGGCACATTAATGTTGTTAGATTTAGAACCGAAGCAGCAGCAGCAGCAGTACCCATACAAAGTCAATTAAATCAACCTACATACACATGTTGTGGTATGATCCATATTATGTTTGCTGGACCAGATATTTGAAGCGCTTCATTTCCTACCTACTGTCGCTTCACGCAGCCTCTCAGCCAGAAGAATAAATTGGATGGACTGGAAAGTGTGCAGACTATGGTGCTTTGCGATTACTTGCATTGTATTGTGTAGGTACTTTTTTAAGACTTGTGTGGGGAAGCATACATACATAGTGTGAATCACAACCAGAACACTTGATTTGTTTAAGGAAGATTGGGTTTTGTGACAGTTTAATCGCAGCTATTTTAGATTCAATTAAAAACATGTATACAAACATAAGAAGGTAAAGTAAAAAAGTGTCCAAAGAATAATCCAACACAAATTAAATATGAATGTTTTTATATACATATCAGGAATTATAGTAAAAATGTGTACATTCTACAATATATAACAAAGATATGTAAAAATGTGCATATTACAGCGTGTGAATCAGATTGTATAATTGTTCAGTTAGAAATGTATTTAAAAATTGTAATCATTTTTTTCTGTAACTGTAAAGCAATAGTTACCTTTTTTTGTATCCTGATTACAAAAAACGTAATTCCATGTATCCCATTACACCCCAACCTGGTCAAGTGTGAGTAGGTGATTTATTTTTTTGAACTTTCCCAATACTGGTTGCAAGTACGTGTGTGTGTGTGTGTGTGTGTGTGTGTGTGTTTGTATCTGTGCATGTGTGTGTTTTGTATGTCCTTGCTCCAGTGATGTGCAGGTCTATACTTAAAGCCCCAGGGATCAGTGTCTCCTGTTGGGGCCGAGCCAATAATAACCCTATCGATCAGCTCCTGTGACATTTCTGCTCCCCAATGAATCCGCCAATAGCTGATATTTCCATACTGTGACCTGGCCCGACGGGCCCGAGACACCAACGAAGAAGAAGTGACAAAAAGGAAACTCTCATGCAACCTTGCATGTGCCACAATACAAATGAACATTTATGAAAACACTCGGATGTATGTGCACATATCGACATTCATTTTGAGAGACTCACCTTCTCAACGTCCTCTAAAGTCTTGTAGTACTTTGCTTCAGTCTCCTGGATCTCTACTAAGCAGCAATTTCTTTTGTCTTCTTCTGTCATTCCCATCTTCTATCGGAGACAATTAAGCATAATGTATCAGGACAATTACACTGCATGCTTTTGGATAATGAATGATCTCTAATAATGAACACCACTGTATCTGCTTTTCTAAGTCCTACATTTGTACAACTTTAATGATAGTATTTCTTGTTTTTTTTGTGATTTTTACAAAATGGAGTTCAAGCTAGCCAGTTTCTGATTGAGTATTTGTCTAAATGTGTGACATGTTTTTCATAAAAGGACCATCATTCTTTCATCTTATGTTTTCAGTCTCACATACTATGAAAGCTTCACATTGTGAAAACTGTGCTGTTGCAATTTTTTCATCTGCTTTACCAGTCAGCCATTGGTTCCAATTTCTTTCCAAACATTATTGAGTCTATTAGCACTCTCTTGAAAATGGCTTGAGTTGTGTAATCCATCAAAGGCTATTATCTGTACGTGATAGTGCAGTGCAGACTTTTTTCCAATCAATTCACCATGAAGTCATAACGTAACATTGACAAAAATGAATGCGGACCTAATGTTGAAAGTGATGGATTACCAGACCCGAGCTGGTTTCAAGAGTCTGTTCTGCTTTATTTCACCGGGATAATCTATGATTCAATAACGCCTTCCAGGGAGGCATTGGCATACAATTGATAAGATTTGCTAAATAGTATTCATACTGTCTAGAAATGAATGGGAAGCATAGGGAAAATCCATTCAAAAATCATCTGTGCATGAACAGATAAGTCCAAATAAAGTGCTGTCGTTAAGGTTTGACTGAGCTTTACAAACAAAAAAAACAGTAAGAAAGAAAGTGTGTTAAAATGAAGACGATATGATTTCCAAATCAACTTGAGCCTTTTAAAAATCTTACCCACAGTGACTGATACATGTCTGGCTAGAGTAAAGTGAATTGGTGAAGACTTTGGAGGGAAAGGGAAGTGTGTTAGCATTTGTTCTCACTGAATGCCTGGGCTATACATAAGTTCTATTTACTGTATGAATATGTAGATGAATAAAGGGTTTTTAAGTCATAGCCATGCAGGCAGACACATTGTGAGGGGGAGGTGCAAGATGGGGAAAAGATACAAACGTATATACATTTAGCATTTCTCAAGAGACCTGACGTCTGAGTCAACCTCCATGTAGGAAGATGTGTACATATACATAAACATGTGTTTCTTTGAAAGGAAAATATACTGGAATGCATATCCAAAACGTATAGATTTCAGCTCCATTTCTATGCAGATTTCAAAATGTTGTGGGAGTGACATGAGCAACCCAACTGTGGAATAACAAGCTAGGCCATCTGGAACACATTTGACAGATAATCAGTGCAGATAATAGAAACATCTGGGGCTAACACTGTAGCGTTGTAAGCCTTATTCCACTTTGTTATCAACCATTCCAAATCAGGGCTGAAAGCCAGCAGAAATATGTTTATTTCTCTGGTGCTCTGAGGTTGGATTTCATCAGCTGGTGGTCCTCGGTGACCTCATTTAACACTGCCGTCACCGAGCTGAAGTCACAAGTCTCTCCACTGGGCCCTGAGTCAGACTTCAAACCAGATGGGGCACGGGTCAATAATCTAACTGGCCGCTCATTCTCCTGGGATGCCATGAGTTTGTTTTAAATGAAGTGTTAGAGGGAGGTAACTGACAGGGTGGGGTGAGTCACAAGCACAGCAGCACTCACCTGCATGTATCTGATCTGCAGCATGGGGAAAGGCAAAGCAGCGCAAGTCAGAGGTCAAATTCATCACCGGTTGTGTTAAAAGATCTGAGCACGTCAAGAGATATCACATCATGCAAATGCTATGGTGAGTGGGAGGAAGTGTGTTTCCTTTTCCTAGCACGACTTGTTCATTGAATCATTCCTGGTAATAAGGGTTGTCTAACGGACAGAATTGGTACCAATTTGCAAGTAAAAATGTGGTCTAAAGTCAAGACTAAGTTGTTAGGTGTCGTTTTTATACCAAAATAAAATTATCTTTGGTATTATTATTTTTCAACTGGCTCTCAGTATTTTCACTTGAGTCCTTCTGGTCCCATTGGATGGTTCAAACTAATGATGTGTCTACGAGAATGATTGAACAGCAATATTGATAGTTGATTCAGGAAATTAAGGGGAATTAAATGTCCTGTGGCACACTTTCTACATAACTAATGTATTCATGTTTAAATATGAGCGAAGGTATTTGCAAGTATGTTCGTGTTAGGTGAGTTATTTCTGATTTATTTTCAGTCAGGTCTAAAGTGATGGATTTGACGTCGAAAATTCAAATCTGACTTGAGTCATTTGACTGAAGGTCACCAGGTAGACCATCATCTAAGGTGACTAAGAAATACAACCCTTTATTCACACACCTTAGCAAGCATCGTATTCCAAATTTGAGGAAAATATAATCATTACTATTTTACTTTTTTAAAGTAATGATAAAAGGGCAGGGATTGTGAAACTAGTCTCACCATGGGTTGTCGTACTTCCACCTTAATGATGTCCTCATAGATGTCGTCCCCATCGTCATCACATGGCACACAGTCGTAGATGTCATCCTCACCCAAGTCATGCTCACTGGGGAACAAAAACACAAGTTAGATGAACGACTGTATCCTCAAACAACCTTCACTTCAGGATTAAATCCTTTTACACTGCCAAAAAGGCTCATATCTCAACTTTAAACTGCTCTGACAGCTGAGAGGCACGGAGCAGTCACAGCAGCACCAGCTCATTATCTCTTACGAGCCTCACCTATAGAGTGATATTAGATTTTGAGTTGAAGGGACCAGCACTCGATGTTCACAAACTTCCAATGAGTTGCGCCATTGAGTGGCATTTCTCTTAAATGTGTTTATGCTGCTTTGGCACCCATCTAGCTAACTGACCTTTAATTAGACGAACAGACAGCAGAGCACAGACAGTGGCTGTGGAGAGGAGTGTCTTCTGGGGAAAGTCCCTCATGCTAAGCGAGTGCACACACTGCATCTCCGTCTGTCCTGTAAAAGCAATTATTGTTTGGGGAACTTATCGAGGCAGTGGAGGAGCCTCAGCAGGAATACGCTTTGGCGATGAGCCCACATCGATGTAGTTAATAACCAGGGAGCTTTAGGTTTGCTAAAAAGGGAAATAAATGATTAAGTAGTGTACATAAATAAATGTTGCAGGAGTTGCCTGCTAAATAATGGAAGACCAGGCTTATAGCTTGGCGACTACTGTCTTGCTAAAATACAATCACATCCACCTCAAATGTACTAAGGTGGAGGCAGTATAATGCTGCCAAATATTCAGTTAGTTAGGCTTTGGGCTATAATATTTTGGCATACAGGCCTGATTAAAAATGTGCTGAATTAGCTATTAGCAGTCCCTGTTGCTATATGCAATTAACCCATTGATAAATAGAGAAATATGCCGGAAGCACTTTGATAGGTGAGGAAAGTTAAAAATATGAAGTATTTTAGTCGTCCTTTTTCTTTGACTTATACATTTACTCCATGGAAATAGAAAGATAAGTAAGTCCAAATGAATGTGTAAATCTCTGTGAAACAATCAAGTTATGGCTCTGAGAACAAGTGTGCTTTTACTGTAGACACAACTTTTTAAAGTACCCTAATTTCTCTGACATGTATCCTTTTTGTTAACACTGCTTTGTGCCTGTCCCGTTACCCCCCACCTTTTTCTAAATAAGTGAAATAAATGTTTAAATTCCATCTGGACTGCCTCCACATGCTCAGAAAAGGAGGACCAGGGTGGCATGTGAACGCTTTACTAAAATGTCCTTGGCCATGACACTTAATGCCTTCCAGATTAGGGGATGCCGTTTTGTGATCCGAGTGGGGGAAAGCCAAAAGGTCATGTCTCTTCTCGGTTGAAAAGAGCCTCATCCAACTACCTGTTTGAGTATTCTTGAGGAAGATCCTTCATCCTTTGCCTAATGGGGGCCGTAACCTGGCTGTCCCGGCCCCGAAACAGACAGGAAATGTAATTCCACTTTAACATCCCCAGAAATTGAATATTTTTGTAGGGATTTTACTATATTAAATCATGAATATTTAAAATGTGGCACAGGTTATGGGTCATTGTATTTTCTTTATGGCTTGATATGACCTTCGACATCTGCTATCTTTGCTTAAATATTTCTTCTTGTGTGAATGTTGGATACAAATCAGAGGAGGCAGAACTGTACTCAATCATTTCTCAAGCTTTGTCGTCACGCTCGTGCGGGGGTTGTTTGAAGTTTTAATTGAGGTGGCTTGGTTCACTCTGGGCGCCGTGCTTCTTCTCTCTTCATTAAGTTAAAGTGGCTCATGTTGAATAGGGAAGAGGCGGAGTGGGAGATCCGCGCCGTCCCATCAGTGTCTCCTCTGAACTCTGAGACTGATGTGTTGCGCGACGGGAAGTTTTTGAGAAGAAGATGTTGTACTTCATTTTGCTCTAATCCCTTCAGAGACTGTATTATACGACGGAGGTCTAGTGCGGGGATTTAAATATGACCTATGGAGAGATCTAAGAGGAGCGGGATCTCCAGTGGGGACATTGAGGAGGAGTAGGGAGGGAGGTCTGAGTGAGGTCTATTTTATAAATAATGTAACTATTACAAGAATGAAACATTTAGGGAATTACCATTGATTGAATCATCTACATCTATTGACCCTTACTTATCCAGGGGAAATTGTCTATGACATTTAGGCAATATCTTTTCTCCAGTCAATTATATTTCATATTGACCAACTCTTCTTTGTTTCAGTCAGTCAATTTAAGGATTTAGTGGTTGTTTTGGGAGGAAATCTTTATATGGACTGGCACATTTCTATAAAGATGATCCCTTTGTCATTGCCTTTATTTTGATTGGCATTTATCCATATCGCCAGGACTAACTGATATCCGTTGATCCCAATTAAGCATTTTACAAGAACTGATTTCACGTTTTTTTTTTTCTTTTAAATTCCATATTGATTTTTCAAAACAAAAACCAGAGGAATCAATATTTAAATGATAGTGTGTGTACATCCACTTTCACTGATTGTTTCCTATCAAATTTCTAATTACTGCTGTCACTAATTAACTTCTTAACTTGTTTTCTGTTTTTAGTCTCAATATGCATTGAGTCAAAACACTGTAATTAACCCCATATAAAGGTCTTACATTAGTCATTTATATTCCATAATGTACATTCTGCACTGGGTTTGGTAGAACCGAAAAAGCTGCGGCTAAGGAAAAATGAAGGGTGTTTTGTAAGTGGAAGTTGGCCTTCAGTATTTGTGAGGACACATTTGAGCATTAACCCTCTGCAGTCGGTGGTGCGCATCATTTTACGTAATTAATCATATATTTTCGATTATAAGGAGTAGAAATATGATTCAGATATCCGCGGAATCGCTGGAAGAGTAGCTTTCCAGTGGTATCTCCTGTGAGACTGTAACCAGGGTTGCATTCCAATAGTCCATTTAGCTTAGGAACCTTCCTAACGGAGTGAAATGACCCGGAAGTACGTCACTGGCAGCCATGATAAGTGCCGTTCCAATTCTCCAAATGAAAGGAAAGGAGGTTTCAAACTTCCTTTATAACCTCCTTTAGTTTAGGAACCACTGGACCTCCCTAACCGAAAGGAGAGGAGAAAATGCTGCCCCACAATGCATTGCAGCCGCAGCATTTGCCATCACAACAGTCGGCCGTTCACGGAAACAACCGATTATGACCGAGAAATTATATCATGAAAGTTACGGTGCTTATTAAGCATTTTAAAACGTATGTGGTAAGTTGCCAAAGTGCTTTTTTCCTGAACGTTCATCAGTATTATAATCAAAGAGAAATATGAACGTTAGTTTTTACTGAAATGATCAAATAAAGTCAACATCTCACAGTCTTTACTGAGCTGTGTGGGGTTTGTTCGACTTTTAAAATATGTTTGAATGGTGATATACACAGTGATATATGTTAAGGACTAACGTTTATAATAAATACATTTGTATTGATTTTAAGATATTTTCATACAATCATACGTATTGGGATCATTTGTATTAATGTGGACCGGAGGGAGAGGGTGACGAGCATAAGTTTCACTTTCCTTTTTTATTTCAATTCCAACTTTGGTCATGAAGAATTATATTTCTCTGTTGTCCACGTTCATAAAGCAACAGCATCAGAGCACGGTGCAGAGTCTCTAGATGAGTTTACAGTAGTCCCTCGTTCTTATTAAACATCCATGTTGTAGTCCGCTGTATAGAAAACTGTAGTTTCCATAGTTTCCCCACAGCAGCAGACGCACATTCAGGACGTCCGCTGGCGCATCATAAACACGTCGGATAGTGAAAGTGCAGTCGATTCTCTAAAGTACTGCAGTCTCTTCTCCTAAATCCTTTTGAATTCTCCTATCCACTATCCCTTAACCCCGTGACGTTTCACTCAGAGGTCAAGGAATAGGAGATATGGTTAGAATTTAGGAGCTGATTTTTGGATTATCGGAACGCAACCCCGCAGTCTCTTCTTCTAAGTCCTTTTGAAGTCTCCTATCCACTATCCCTTAACGTTTCACTCAGAGGTCAAGGAATAGGAGATAGGGTTAGAATTTAGGAGCTGATTTTTGGATTATCGGAACGCAACCCAGGGCACCACAGCCAATATGGCCGCTCAAAGCAGCTTGACTTTACACTGTGTGGGATTGGTGGATTCGTGTGTCCGTCAAGGAAATCTCGGCCGGCAGCCATCATGGTCTGAAATGACCAATGGACATCGAGAAATCACTAAGGACCTACCCACCAAGTAAAAAAAAACATAAACCACGTGTCTCCCATCAGTTTACGTCTGTGAGGGGAGAGAGAGAGACAGAGAAAATGGCTAAAAAAAACTTTACAGTTGCCGACTTCGCTAGAGATTTTTTTCGCTAGCAGCAGTGAAGATAGAGCCTCAGAACCTGAAGTTTTCAATTCTTCTGAAGAAGAAGAATACAAAGACAACAACAAGGATCCATTTGGACATGGGTAGGTGTAAATATTACAGTAATAGTGTACTGGCAATGTGTGGGGAATAACGCGAAAATGAACAATAGGTTTATTGATATATATTTTTTATCGAGAGTCATGAACTTTTTATTGGGACAAAATAGACTCTCCATTAGCAAACGTTTTACTCTGTGTTAACGTTATTTTGGTGTGTAAAAGTGAGATTACATGTGTAGATGATTACATTAATCATGTATTCGTCCCACAACGGAGACATTTACAGTGACATGTTTTTGCCATCGATTATTTTATCATACTGTTCTGTACAGATGAGACTTTGTAATCAGATGTAGCCTATGTGTGTCTGTGATTTTATACTCAATGTAAAGTAACTGGAAAGTGTGTGTGTGTGTGTGTGAGAGAGAGAGATCGAGAGAGACTCCTTCTCCAACCTCCCAAACTTTATTTGTATGTGTGCATTGTTATTTGTGCTTGAGCAACATTTTACTTGAACTTTATTTCAATGAAATTAGTTGTAATTATTGTCCTACATTTTAATTTGTTTTACAGAGAGGTTTCACAGCTGTCTGGGCCTAGTGGCCCACAGGCGGCGTTTATCCAGCAGCCAGAACATCC